CAATATCGATTGTGAGCGTGTGCCCGCGCGAATTTAGTAAGCGGAATAAACAAAAGCAATAAAAGCGCATGCGCCATTTATCTCATTTTGGATAAAAATAATTCGATTTCCCCAGAGTCATGCCACAACCTAACCCGCGAACAGGCATACTCTGGGAACGAGATTGTATTACGTGCGGAAAAATGTACCACTTTCGGCTCAAAAGTGTTGCATTTTTTCCGCGCGTATAATACTAAAATGCTCAAAATTATCTATAATTTCACAGGGCTATATTTTCCGTATTTTACAACATTTTGCGGCCAAATTTGCAATAGTACTAATTTAATGATGTTCTTTTAATTAATAGTCAGACAGATAGAGAACCAAAATTATGGAAAACTTACCATATCGTGGGACAATTCCATTTTGCCTTCATATTGTGCCCTGAAGGCTAATAAGTACGTTTCTCTATGTTGGCCGCGTTAAAATTTCTTGTGGGCTCCTGCCGACACGTTTTTCTTCGAATTTTGTATTAAACTCTATTACAGTTAAAAAATGTGAAATTTCTGATACATTTCTAATACAAATGAAACATTTAAATTGTTAGTTGGGATTTTCAAGCGGTTTTCGAGTTATTGCCGTTTCAAATGTGAAAAATAAGCCAAAATCTCGCAAAATTCCTGGGTAATGGATGACTCTTCGATTTCGAAGATGTCCTTTTTCGTCGGAGGTTGGGTCACCGTCTATGAACTCTCCCATGAGCCACCAAACCCGCTCGGCTCGCACAGGGCCGTTGACACACATCACACGTGAATCCTGTTGCATCAGCTTGATCTGGCCATTTACGCGGGAGTCGGGCTTGTCGTATTCTCTCTGTCCGGCCTGCTTCAAATGATTGAACACCAGTATGGATTGCAGTTCGCCATGAAGCCCTATCTTCTGCACGTGTTTCCCAAGATTGCAGCGGAACATTGCACGACTTTAGCGCATCTTTCAGGCTATCCTTATACCTTTTTCGCGGTCTTCCCACCATTCGGTTTCCTTGTTGTAACTCCCCGTACAACAATATTTTAGGTAATCGTTCATCATCCATTCTCACAATATGACCAGCCCACTGAAGCTGCCTTTTTTTCAGAATGCTTTCAACGCTACAACATTTTGCCCGCTCTAGCACTTCGCTGTGTGGCGTCTTTTCTTCCCATTTTACCCGCATAATGCTACGGAGGGATCGTTGCTGGAAAGCTTCTAGTTTTTTTATGTGCCTGGCATACAGGGTCCATGTTTCCCCGCCGTACAGGAGCGTTGATATAACAACTACTTTGAACAGAGCTATTTTTGTTTCTAGTTTGATATCATGACTCTTCCATACACGATCTTTGAGTCTTCCAAAAGAGGAGCTGGCTTTTGCTATCCTTCTTTCGATTTCATGGTGTAATTGCTCATCATTGGATATTGTGCTACCAAGATACGGGAATGTTTTAGTTGTTTTCAGTTTTTGACCGTTCACAATGATTGATGGTTTATCTAGAAGCACTCCTGGTGGTGGTTGGCATAATACTTCTGTCTTTTTTATGCTGATTGTCAAGTCAAAGCGTCTAGACGCATTTGTGAAACTGTCCATCAACGATTGTAAATCTTCTACAGAGTGAGCGAATATGCCGCAGTCATCCGCAAATAATAATTCCCTTACAAGTTGTTCTCTTATCTTTGTTTTGGCGCGCAGACGTTGTAAGTTGAACAATCCACCATTTGTTCTGAAATTCACGCGAATACCTTTGTCATTACCATCTAAGCAGTCTTTCAGCATAGCCCCGAAGAACAAGATGAACAGGATCGGCGCTACAACACAACTTTGTTTTACGTCATTATTTATGGGGAAACTGTCGGAGAACTGGCCTTCGGAACAGACCCTCGCTTGCATCCCTTCGTGAAGTTGTTTAAGGACATTTACAAACTTTGTGGGGCAACCCAATTTTAATACTGTAGGATCTTCCACAACGCTTCCCATGATACCGTATCGAAGGCTTTAGTCAGGTCGATGAACACCGCATATAAAGGCATGTTCTGTTCGATGCTTTTTTCTTGCAATTGCCTTACTGCAAAAATCATGTCCGCTGTTCCTCTGTTGCTGTGGAAACCACATTGAGATTCGGAAACATTTTCATCCAGGATGCTTTCAACTAAACACATCTGTAAAATCTTTGCCAGGATTTTGGAGCAGTGTGACAATAGCGCAATTCCCCGGTATAGTTACCGCAATCTGACTTGCTCCCTTTCTTCTTGTATAACGTGACAATTATGGCATCTTTGAGCTCCTGTGGGATGTCTTCATCTCTCCAGATATAACCGAATAAGGAGAAGAGATGGCTGATAATTGCCTCTCCACCATGTTTGTAAATTTCGGCGGGTATCCCGTCTTCTCCTGGTGCCTTTCCACTTTGAAGTAGTTTTTATAGCTTTACGAATTCCTGCTTTTGATGGTCTATCCGCCAGGTGTTCCTGTACCGGCTGCTGTTTGATGTTATCGATACTATTTTGTTGTACAGTCGAGGCACGATTAAGAAGTTCATTGAAGTGTTCGACCCAGCGATTAAGGATCTCATTTCGATCAGATATTAATTTCGTGCCATCGGCTGAAAGCAAAGGTGATGTACCACGGGTTGACGGTCCGTACACTCCCTTTACAGCATCGTAAAACTTTTTTGCATCATGTTTGTCAGCGAATTCCTGAATTTCACGAGCTTTTTTGACCAGCCAATCATTTTTTTAGACGTCGAATTTCGCGTTGCAAGCGGTGTTGACACTCTTTCAGCCGGGAACTTGTACTGCGAGTATTTCTGGTGACAAGGGCCTGATGGGCAGCATTTTTTGCGTCTATGAGTGGCGTTATTGACCCGATATTTTCTTCGAACCGGTCAGGTTGTTTCTTGCTTTTCGTACCGAGTGTTTCTTTCGACACTTTGAGTATTTGATTTTTCAGCTCCTCCATTTATCGTGAACGGAGTCACTTGGACGGTCAGCTAGTTGGTTGAGGGCAGTTTCCATCTTGACAGAAGAGTCGTTTTTGATCTCATTGCTTTTTAGTCTGTCCACATTCAGCTTTCTGACGCCCTTGAATGCAACTTTTCGCCTTTGCGGTTGTATTATCATTTTTAGTTTCATTCTGATCATTCGGTGGTCGGTTTGGCATTCAGCACCACACATTGCTTGTGTTATACAAACATCTTTTAGGTCCCTTTGTCTTACTATTGCATAATCAATCATATATGCTAGTGTTTAGATCTTGGATGCATCCACGTCGATCTTTTTGCCAGTGGTAGCTGAAACATCGTGTTTGTGATTACGAGTTCATGTTCCTTACACTTTGATAATAATAGTAAACCATTTGAGTTGCATTTTCCGACCCCATATTTACCAATTGTGCGCGACCAAGATGTACTGTTTGCACCAACACGGGCATTGAAATCACCCAGCAAAATCAGCTTATCCTCCTTTGGCGTTTTGCGCAGGATATTATCAAGGTCTGCATAGAATTTTTCCTTTACAACTTCTTCGTTTGTCATTGTGGGAGCATAAGCGCTAATTATTGTTGCGTAACGTTTCTCATTTATTTTCACACGCAGCCACATGAGACGCTCGTTTACTGCGGTTGGCAGGTTTTCCAATTCCTTAACAATAGAGGTTTTTATAGCGAATCCGACGCCATACAGACGCTTTTCGCTTTCCGGTAAGCCGCTCCATAAGTAGGTATATCCTGATGTTGGTTCAGTAAGTTGTCGGGTACCAGCGAATCTAGTTTCACTCAATGCGGCTATATCAATGTTATATCTTTCCAATTCTAGTCCAATAATAGCTGTCCTCCGCTCTGTTGTTCTTTCGCTCTGCAAAGTCCTCACATTCCATACTGCAATTTTTAATTGTTTTTTCTTTGTGTTTCGACCGCAAAGTGGGATAACTCGTCAGCCGCGGATTGCTAACCGAGTTGGTGGAGTGAACGTTTTTTGGGATCACCTTTTCTAGTCCCTTCCCCGGATTGGAGGGAGCAGTGTCCTCCCTAAATAGGGCTGCTCCGTCGTCTGGGGTGCTGCCGAACCACCATATCACTCCTTGGTAGGCAGAGCGATCACTCCTTGGTAGGCAGAGCGACCAAAATCCCAGACCTGTGATTACGACTCGGGCAATATCCTTTGCTTGTCGCTTCACCACGCCCCTGTCGCCGTTGGGCTTGATTCCGTCCGTCCATCCAATGTCCAGTCCGTTGCAATCAATCGTTCCGTTTTTATATCCAATATCCAACAAAAAAATTCCTGCGCAGATGTTTGATTATAGTGGTGCAGAGTTACGCACGTTCTGCCACACTCTCTCGGCATCAGTTCCCAATATCCAGTGGCATGTTAAGACGACGACTAGAGGAAACATCTGCTGCAGTGGTTGACCATACGTAGCTATACGATCTTATACGCACGCCCTAAATAGCGGTACCACAATCCGCTGTCCCCTGTCCCCGCACAACGTTTAGCCTGCTAGCCGAGGCAGTTTACTGGGGTGTGGCCGCCGCATTGCCCATGCGACTTCTTGGAGCCACTTGTGAGAGTTGAGTGTATGTGGAGACCAGAAGTTCACGAGCCATCCGAGGATGCGACTGCCCGGGCTCCAAAGGTACTACTCCTCCATACACTCCATACACCCATATAGATAAGTATCGAGTTTGGAATCATATATGAGTAGAGTGCTCAATACCGTAGTAGAGCTAATAAGATTAGAAGACAAACTTGAATTACTTCATATGAACTTTATTTCACACAAAAATATATATATATATATATATATATATATATATATATATATATATATATATATATATATATATATATATATATATATATATAAATAAATAAAAAAATAATAAATATAAATATATATATATATATATATTAAATATCTATAATTCCTTTGTGTTGTCAGAACATCCCAAAGCATTCATGGTTTCTCATTTAAAGAAGTTAATGGATTCAAGGGCTATAGAAATGAATCATCCATGTTTGTTTGATGACACAAATATCAGGTCTTTATTTGGAATTTTGGATATATCAAATCATGGTTATATTAACTATGAGCAGTATAAACGAGGTAATTAGTTACCAAGCACAATTATCATTTCCTTTGAATTATCAAAACTCATGCTTTCTCTCATATGTGTTTTTGTGTCAATTAATTAGCATTGAATTTCATAAAATTAATGCGACTTCATTCCTATGCCAATAGTATGCCTATTTGTGCTGAAATGACAAGTATTATTATTCAGCTAATAAAACCTAGCTATTACAGTAGGTGGACACTTTCAATCTTAATAATTTATATACAACTGCATGTTACACTACTTTTGTTTTATCCCAGTTAGTCTTTGTTGTATCTTCCATAGTTCCATGTGCACATGCAGATCATTCATGCCAATACCATATATGTATAACATTAATTTGTTCGTTTTTACAAAATGTACTGGATCATTTTCTCTTCAGCTCTTGAAAACTTGGGCATCAAAGATATCAATCGTAATCCGCCTGGTGCTGATTTGGATGAAATTACCTTAGAGGTCTTTCTCAAGGAAGCGTGAGTATATATCACCAGTTTTAGCGAGCTCTATATATATCTGGAGCGCCTTCCTTGGTGCAATCGTGAGATAACTCCACTTTCTTGATATTCAATGCATTAATGAATTTACGTCACGCTTTGCATAATGACACCTACCATGGTACTTAAAATATTATATGACTTTTGGGTAAACGTTTTTACTAGAATTGTGCTTTCCTCTATAAGAATATGTCTACTCTAAAAACGATGCAGAGCGTCCATCATATACAGTCTTTAACTTTATCTTTTAAATGCAATTTTACGTTTACTAATTCTATTTTTTTCCTTTCGTATTACCTTTACAATACTTTTAGGAGAGTTGGTTTGTCCACATCGTCGGCTACTTTCCTTGCCACCTAATGCAAATATTGAAGTATCGTTCTTTTATTGTAGTATTAATATATTAGTAGGTTTAGCCATTCTGATTGGCAATAACTGCAAAAAATGGTTAGGAAGATCATGCAGGTGAACTTTTGTGTTATTAACCTCAGCCCTCGTCTTCAGT